GAAGCCCAGCTCGGCGGCGGCGCTGGCGAGCGTGCCTTTCTGTACGCAGAAGCGGTGCACAGTGCGCGCGCGCGCGTCTGCAGCGTCGACAAAGAGGAACGCGGCGTCGCAGCTGACGCGCGGCGCAGCGAGCGCGCGGAACTGGTGCAGCATGGCGAAGTCGTCGACAAACGGGTTCAGCGGGTTTAGCCACACCAACGCGGGCTTCTTGAGCACGGCTGGGGCGGCCTTGCTCTGCGCGGCGGTGATGCGGCACACCGAGACGCAGAAGCCCTCGGTCACGGCGACTAGGAAAAAGAGCGCGGGCGTCGCTTGGTGCAGAAACAGTTGCTGAATCGCGCCGCGCGCGCCGCCGAGGTCCAGCCGCAGCACGACGCTGATCAGCGTGTACAGCGGCCGTTGCCGGCGTTTGCGCAGCTCGCCGACGCGAAACAGCACCACAAATTGGCGGTCGGTGCCGCATACGAACAGCTCCGCGCAACTCGCTGTGCTGCGCAACTCGCCGACCTTGGCTGCGCACTCGTTCCATTGCAGCGCGTGCGAGCTGCCCAGCGCTTCGAACGGAAGCCACGGGTACTGCATCGCGCTTACGAGACTCGCAGAAAACACCGCATTCCGAAGCGCGCAGGTTGCGCGATCTATTTAGGCAAAATCAAATTGTGCAAAATTGCAATTTACGCGCCGCGCAGCGCGTCAGCAACGCTGAGCGCGCTGCACGACGCTTCGACACGAACTGAGAATACAAGCCTAAAAATGCAAAACAAAAACGCAACCGTAGACGCAAGTCTCCGGGCCGAAGCAAATTGCGGCGCTGTGGATTACCGCTTTGCGGAAGTCCCTGAAGCGCTGCGCAAGAAGTCGTGCGTCGCGGCAGCCGCCGCAGGCTGCGTTATTTGCGCGCAGCACAAAACGTTTCTGCGGCTGAGAGCATTCGCTCGTGCCCGCGGCTTGGCAGCGACACCTGCGTCTCGCGAAGCGTCGGTCGCTTCTATAGTCACCTTCTCTTCCAGACTCACTGCTCAGCAACTCAAATGCTCAGCACGCGCTTTGCTCATCCTCAGCACTCACACTGAGGCGCTTCGAACGAGTTTCCGTGTCGGCACTTTTGCGCTGTGCAGGGGCGTAGTTGCAGAGGGCTCAGAGACTTTCTTTCCCGCAAAGCGTTTAAATTATGACCTAAAGCAAGCGGTCCGCCGACCCGACGTTTTATCCTGTGACGTTTCGTTCCGCGTCATTTAGTCTTCCTCTTAATCCGATCCCGCGTCATCTCGTGTCACTGTTGATTCGTCTGTTACTGGTTGATCGCTATTGCCGGTCCCTTGCTCTTGATTCGGTTCTCCGTTAGTGCCGGCCCCTGGCTGTTGACCCGGTTGATCGTTACTGCCGGGCCCTTTGGTGAACGACCCTGTATAACTGCTTGAGAACAGCAAGATCCACTTCAGGCACAGACTGGCGCTCGGTCGGAAGCAGTCCCTCGCCGAACAGCTCGTGCAGCGCCAACGCTTGCGGTTGCTCCATGCCGTTGTAGTCGTTTCTGTTGTAATATTGTCTAAGCGGCGCCGGAGACTTCACGCGCTTCCAGACCTCTTCGCTCAACCCCTGCCACGAACCTACAATGTCGCTCCATTTCTTCGCGGGCGTGAGCTCGCGCGAGTTTTCGTTGCGCTTCGGGTAGGGCGCGAAGGTCAGGTTTTCCGGGATGTCGAAGATCAGGCCAGAGTTGTTGCTGCGGTTGTGCGCGTTGAGCTCCTTAAGGAAGGCGCTGATTTGGCGTTTGCTAGATTCGTTGAGCTGGTCCGCGCCCTTCCTGAACATCATGTAAGCGAGCGCGTCGTACACGTTGTACAGACTCAGGCCGAAAGTGCTCGGGATCAAGCGATTCTGCTCATCATAGAAACACATGACCTTCTTGTTCTCGGCTTGTTGCAACCGAGACGTGCCTTGTTCGCTGAGTAAGACTTTCTTCTGGACAAGGAAATCGAAGGGCTTGACAGTGGAGACGAGCTGGTTGTGCAGTATGCAGTACAGTGCGTTGGCGTCGAGTCTCCGGAAGGAAGCAGCGTTGGAAAACAGAGAGCGCATAATGCGCTGGGTGACGTCGGTGGGGCGCGCGCCAGTGAGCATCTCGATGTTTTGATTCGACTGATCTTGGGTAAATGTGTAACTCTCGAAGGAGGCGTTGTTACGGAAGATCTGGGGCGTTAAGCCGAGTAGGTTATTGCGCAGATTTTCAAATGGCACAGTATCGTAGACGCCGGGCAGGTCGAACGACCATGAGACGCTGTGCGCCAGTGGCTTGTTTTCGTCGGTGAAGTAGTTTCTGTTGATCTGCTCGACCTTGCTCTGCAACGCGTTTTTGACCAACGGAATCGCGCTCCACAGCTCGGGGTGGAAAAAGGCCATCACGCGGCGGAGCTGCTCACTGCCTGGCGTCGAGTAGTCGTTGGCGACCATATCGAGCGACGAGCAGAGCCAGCGCGCAAGCGCGTGCTCAATGTGGAAGCGGCGAGTGAGTTCTGCGACGTTTACGTAGTTCTTAATCACGCGCTCGCTCTCAGCGGGCCTTGCCGTGCAAGTGAGGGCCGCCGAAATGCGGTCAATCGCGTTCACAGCTTCTTTCGCCGAGGCGGTCTCGCCGCGATACTGAATCTGGAAGACTTGATTGCATATGTCGTAGAACTGGCCAGAGCTTTGGTTCCTGGGCCTGCCTCTGCGCTCGTTTTCCGCGGCTTCGAAGGCCTTGAACAGCAAGTTCTCGACGCTGAACCTCTGGCTGCGCGTGAGCACGCGCGTGAGCACGTTGATCTGCGGGATCACGAAGCGGAAGGCTTCGTACAGCACCTTCAGCCCGCGGAGCTCCTCGAGCTTGGAGTCGACGTAGCAGTCGCCGATCTCCGCGGGACGGATGTACGCCAAGTTTTCGCTGCTCGAGAACGCGTCGTGGTCGAAGTTCTCGTTCTCGACAATCGGCTCCGCAAGCATCTCGTTGATTTGCACGCGAACGTCGCGTCCGAGCACCGGAATGCGCTTCGAAGTCCGCTCGGGCTGCTTGACCTCCATCGTGAACGGGGCGTGCGTCACCGATTGGAACACGGCGGCGGCCTTACGATGCGATTTTTTCAGTTCCATGTCGGTGTAAAACGTGCTCATGTGCGTGAGGTATTCCGGGAAATACTCGTGGCCGGAGAGCAGCTCGCCGAACACACTGTCCGAATTGCAGATGCGAGCCCCGTTCTCGCCGAGCAAGTGCAGCAGCGGGTCGAAGAGCTTCTTGTGGTTGAACGAGTCCTCGCTCATGTCGCAGCGGTTGTGGCTGAAAAACTCCGAGATTTGGTGGATGTCATCGCGCAGCGCCTGCGAGAGCAGCGCCGAGGTTTTGATGTTTTGCTTCCAGCGAAGCTTGTTGAGCTGCTCGAGGCAGACCGCCATGCGGTAAATTTGCTGCGCGGTGAAGACCAGTTGCCCGTCGATGCCGATGCCGAGCTGATACCTGTCCTTCGCGCTAGTCGGAAGACGGCCCTTCACCATGTCGAACACGCGCGCGGACTTAGGGTCCGAGAGCTGGGTCTGCGGGTCGACGGCAATTACGTAGTATTTGAAGCGCGTCTGGTTGTTAGGCTGTCTCGAGTCGCGCTGCATGTTGTTGAGGACCAGCTGCTGCAGTTCATCTATCAACGAGGGATCGCCGGAAAAGTGACAGAGTGTCTTCAGAAACTTCACAGAGTGTCTGACAGCCTCGCTGAACCAAGTGGTCAGCAGCGAGCTGACACTGCTCCGGTCGTTCGCGCTCGAGAATCGGTAGAAGGCGTCCATGTTGAATTTCAAGGGGCCCCACGTACTCGGATTGACGGTGGCGTTGCAGTCGACGCTCAGCGAAGTCGCCAAGCAGTTTGACAAAGATTTCGCCGCGTCGCGCGTGAAGTCTTTCGAGACTGGAGCGACACTGGAGCGCAACCTCGAACTCGAACCGAACGGGTTCGAGCGCGTGTATTGGTGGCTGTGCAAATTCCTCAAAGCATTTTGGCCGCAAACTGAGGTGTGCGGGTTCGGCACGTCCTGCATCAGGCGCAGACACTGACCTTCGGGCAGTGGCTGCCGATTGACTATCGGAAAGCCATCTTGGCGCGACACGCGATGCCGCAGATTCGCGACGCCGCTTAACCCAGGACCAAGCGACAAACTGGCGGGAACGATCGCCACCTTCTTGAACGAAGAAGCGGAAGCGTTCTCGGAGTCGTTTCTGAGAATCCTCATTGCGATTAACAGTCAATCAATAATGTAAAAAATACGAATATTTAATTAAGAGACTCGAAAGTTTTACACAATAATTAAGGACAATTTTTTTGCGAAACGGCTTTTGTCCATTTTCGCTTCGTTCGCGTAGCTTCGCGGTTCGCGTCAGCATGCGCGCTGGGGGTCGCGCGGCTAGTAGCGGCGCGGCGCAGGCAGCGCGGATCTGCCGCGGCGGTGTCTTTCGCGGTCGTAGCTTTCTTATTTTAATTTTATTGCATGATGCCAACGCCGGGTGCGCAGCCGAGCTACGAGGCGCGCCTGCACGAGCTGTATGCGCTCGGCTACGCCGAGAGCAGCCCAGAGATTCAGGGGCTCAAAAACGCGATGGCGCTGGGCGCGGCTGCGGCGCCGGTGGACTGCAAGTATGCGAGCTGCTTCAAGTGCGGCGTTCTGTGCGAGGCCAACGAGTACAACGTGTGCGGCAGCTGTTTGCAGCAGACTGTCGACGTGCGCAAGGATCTGCCTGCCGCGCCCCTCGTGCGGTTTTGTAAGTCCTGCGGACGCTTCGAGCACTGCGGCCGCTACATCGTCTGCCAGCCGGAGTCGCCGGAGCTGCTCGCGCTGTGTTTGAAGAACTTGAAGCTGCCGAAGAGTCTGAAGATCGTGTCCGCAGAGTTTGTGTGGACGGAGCCGCACTCGAGACGGCTCAAAGTCCGGCTGAGGCTCGAAAAGCAGTTGTTGAAGGTTTTCGTGCGGCAGATGGTCGTCGTCGAATTTGTCGAAAAGACGCGGCAGTGTCCCGACTGCACGAAAAGCGTCACGCCGCACATCTGGGTGCACCAAGTGCAGGTCCGCCAGCGGCTGCGCGGCGCGCGCGGCACGAGCGGCGGCGACTCCGACCCGCTGAGCCAACGGCACAACGCCGCGACGCTGCAGAAGCTTGCGCTGCGACACAACGCGCTCGCGGAGTGTACTTCGGTTGCGACCACCGTTGAGGGCGTCGACTTCAACTTCCAGCGCTCGCAAGACGCCGCGCACTTTCTCGCGTTCTGCAAGACCGCGATGGCCTGTAAAGTGCACGGGGACAATAAGCAGCAGGTGAGCCACAACGCTTCGAACAACACGTACCACAACAAGTACGTCACGCTCGTGGAGCTGCCGCACGTGAACCGAGACGACTTGGTGGTGCTGCCCAAGCGCGCCGCGCAGCGTCGCTTCGACGGCGCCGCGCGCGTGCTGCTCTGCCGCGAAGTCGGCCGCACGATCAAACTGGTCGACGCTGAGTCCGGCCGCGTCTACGAACTCGACGCGGACGCCTACTGGAAAGACCCGCTGCAGCCCACTCTTTCGCGCCGGCAGCTCGAAGAGTTCATGGTTTGCGACGCCGTGAAGGCCGCGGAGGGCGCCGCGCCTGCGGACGTTTTTTGCAAAAAGACGGAGCCGCGCAACGAGCTGTACCTCGTCGAACTGTTGCCGCTGCGCCCGCGCTCCGACTTCGAGCGGCGCTTGGTTCTCAGCCGCGTCGGAGCCGAACTCACCGCTGGCGCGATCACGCTCGGGTACGACTTTCGCAGGTGCGCGACGCTGCCCGACGACGTCGAGGAGCTGTTGCGCAGCCGGTTCGACGTACTCTTGGTCGGCTTGCAGAAGGCCAAAAAGGCGCGCAAGTGGCTCAAAGAGCACGCCCCGGCGCCGCGCGCGCCTTCCGCAGACGTCGCGAGCGCCATCGACGTCGAGCAGTCGGACGCCAGCGTTGAGTCGCTACTCGACCAGTTGCAACTGGACTAGCCGAAAAAACTCGCGCAATTGCGCAATCGAAATTGCGCTTTGAAAATTGTGTACTCGAAATCGCGCGGCGGCTCAGCTCAACTGGCGAGCACCAGCCAGCCGCGCAGGCGCGCGTCGTCGCAAACTGCTAGCAGCAGCGTGCGACCCGCGAGCGGCAGCAGCGTCGCAGCGTTCACCAAGTTTTCTGTGTCGAGCAAGTCGTACTCCGTCGCGTCACGTCCGTCGACTACGCGCGCCGTACAGTCCGCCGCGACACTGACGAGGTTCCAGCCGCTCCAGAAGACGTGCGTCACGAATGCCTCTCCCTCGCCGTGCTGGTACTCGAGCCGCAACTGCGTGTCTTGGAAGACTGCGACTTTGCCACTCGAGTCTGCGGCGCACCAGAAGCCGCGGTGCTCGGCGCAGAACGCCACGCGCTCGACGCTGTAACTAAAAACGTTATCAATATTTCCAATTACTTTCTGGGTCGAAATAGTTAGAAGCACCACCGAGCCGTCGTGCAACCCGAGCGCCAGCAGGTCGTCCGCGGCCTCCAAACAGCGAACGCCGCCCCCCCAACGGTCCTCTGCGTCTGCCGCGACCGCTTCTCCGAAGTTTTTCGAAAACAACGTCGCGCCGTCTTCCCCGGCGAACAAGTAAAACCCGCCGTTCGACGTCGCCGCGGCCGCGAGCGTCTGCTGCGAGGCAGGGTCTTTGACGAACTTGCACGCCGTAACGCAGCCGCCGTCGGTGCCGACGCACCACACCAGCCCGCGCGTGCGGTGCGCCAGGCTGACCAGTCCAGCTGTCGAGCCGAACAGCGCGCTGCGACCGTTGTCCGCCAAATCGATCACTTCGACGTCCGCGATCCCAGTTTCGATCACCGCGCAGTCGCGCAGGTCCGCAGCGCTGAAGAAGCACAGCTTGCCGTCGAGCGTCGCGAGCGCCAACGCTTGCGCGGAACTCGCGACTGCCAAGCACGAAATCGAGTCGCTGTTCGCTAACCGGTGTTCTTCCACGACGTGTAGAGCGAACTCGGGAACCGCGGGTGCACTATCTGCCGCAGACGCTGCGCGAAGCGCGACCGCTTCACTTGCCGCGGCGGACGGGACACGCGACTCAACGCGCGCCTTAACTAGCACGCCGTTCGCGCCGCCCGCGAATACCCAGTCGCCGCACGTCGCCAAACAGTACAGCTCTCCTGTCTCGCGCGACGCGAGATTGAGCGAAAAGTCGCAAACGGCTGGCGCGAAACACGCTGGGTCCATCTCGCAACCTTTCTTTTATTTTCGACGACGCGAAAATCGAATTTGCAGTTATTCTCATTCTCTTACGCGATCTGCATGGAAGATGCGCCTCAGAAGCTTGCGGCGATCGTCAGCGACTTCTTCGTCAAACGAGACGTGCTGCTCGACGACGGCGCTGCGCCCGCTGTTCAGCCGTGCCGCACCGTGCGCGTCTCCGGCTTGAACGAAAAAGCGTTGAAGCAAAAGGGCGTTGAAGCTGTGCAGAAGCTCTGCGCGAACTACGGCACAGTGCTCAAGTTCGTTGCGCTGAACAGCTTCTGGCGGCGCGGCCAGGCGTTCGCAACGTTCGAGACGCTCGAGCAAGCCGTCGCTTGCGTCAAAGGCTTGCGCGCGCAAACGCTCTTCGGAGCGCCGCTCAAAGTCGAGTACGCACGAGAAGAAAGCCATCTTGATCCCGCTCGCGCGCCGTGCTTCCGGCCCACGCCGTTGAAGCCGCTGAAGGTGCGGCTGCGCGAAGCGAAGCTCGCGGCGCGCCTGCAAACCGTGCTCAAGCAGCTCGAGCAGGAGAAAGCGCGCGCTCCAGCCGAGAAGCACTCGATCGAGGCCATGCAGTTGCCCGCGCAAGCCTCGCGCAACCTAGTGATCTCGTACAAAGGCACGGAGATGGAGCGGCTCAAGCGGCTTTGCGCTGCGCAGAAAGGCTTCCAAAAGCTGCGGCCCGCGCTGCAGCACGACGCCGTTTTCGCGGACTACAACACAATCGCGAACGCGAAGAACGCCAGCGCGTGTATTTCGGAGGAGTTCAAAAATGCCAGCATTAGGTTTTTAAATCGCTAATTTTACCGATCTCTCTCCAGTGTTTCGCAGAGGCGGTGGGTTGCGACAGCGCGAGCCGTGACTTTTGACTTGTGCAGCCACTTGCAGCGCAGCTTGGCCTGCGCCGCTGCGGCGCCCGAGCCGCTGGCAACTCCAGAGAGCTGCGGCGCCGCTGCCGAGCGGCGCACCTTTACGGACTTCGCGCTGAGCAGACGCATGAGCGCGCAGTTCGCGCTGACGGAGCAGTACTGCTTTGACGCGCTGGACGCGCTGCGGCTGCGTCACGCGGCGGTGTTTGAAAAAGTGCATGAGCAGCGTGCGCCACTCTTTGTTTTGACGCCCGAAGTGGTGGAAAGTGTCTCCGTCTACATGATGGCCGCGCAGATCTCGGTCGTGTACGTTCTTCCAGAGTCAGTCATGCGCGAGCTGAAGGCGCAGTCGCTGTTCTTGTACTATGTTTTGGCCGTCTATTCGGGCGAGATGTCCGTGTCTGAGGTGCAGCATAGTCGCATCCGGCTCGAGCTCGCGCGGCGCGCCATCGCGAGCAAGGCCGCGCTCTGGCTGTTTCCCGACCGGCACGTTCCTCCTCAGTACTTCACCAACGACCCGCTGCGCGATTGCTGCCACTACCTTGCCGCAAACTGTCTGCAAGGCTCTCAATCGCTCGTTGTGCTTGCGCCCGCGCCGGCAGCGGCTGCGGAGGGCGCGACGCCGCTCGCTAGCTTGGAGAAGCTGAAGCAGTGGCTCGCAGCGCTGCCGCCAGAGCCTGCGACTTGCGACGCGGACGGCGCGTGCATCCGCGCCGACGCGATCACGCTGTGTTCCGCGGACAAGCACTTCCACGAGCACTATGGTAGAAGCTACGCGGCGCAGTCCAGCTCGGCGCAGCAGGCGCAGCAGCTGCAGGCGCTGGCCACGTACTACGATGAACACCTGGAGCTCGCGGATGCGTACCGACTCGTGGCCGCGGGGCGCGCGCACGTCGGCACGTACTACGCGCAAAGCGCGTTCCGCGGGCTGGTTAGGTTGTTTGACGCGGTTGGCGCGATGAAGCGGGTCAGCGTTTGTGGCGCGTTCAACGTCAACCGCGCACTTGACGGCGCGACGGTGATCGTGCGCTTGATTGGAGCGGACCCTGGCGATAAGAAGCAACGCTGCAGCGTTGCGGCCGAATTGGACCGAGAGAACGACGTCACGCATTTGTACTCGGACGCGCCGGACGCGCCGCTGTCTGGAGAACTGCCGTACGGCGTCGTGCTGAGCATCGTCACGCCTGCGGTCAAAAGCATCTGCGGCTCGGTTCGCACGAAAAACACGGAGCTCACCACGCCAGTGGATATGCGCGAGTTCGTGCCGCTCTCCGAAGCTTATCCGCTGATGTACATCCCGAGCTACAACGTGAGCGGACTTCTGCACCGCCGACTCGCCGTGGTGTGCGACGCCTGGGAGGCGCATTCGCTGTTCCCGACCTGCAACTGGATCGCGGATTTCGGGCCGACCGGCGAGCAAGCCACGGAGTCCGCGGTGATTCTCCGCGAGTGTGGCGTTATCATCAACCCGTTCGACGCGGAGACGAAGGCGCAGCTGCCGCCCGCGGACTGGAAAGTGACGCCTGAACTGCTCGATCGGCGCATTGACCTGCGCATGAAATGTTGTCCCTGCGACTTGTGCACGCAGCAGTTCGCTCTGGACAGCGCAGCGAAGCGCGAGCTTGCGGGCACCCCTGCGTTTTACACGGCGTACGCCAAGAAGCACAGGCCGCTTGCAGGCTGGCGTGCAGCCGCGGAACGCGACGCTTACTTCGACCGCTTGCTCTCGCACCCGGAGACCGAGCGCTTCGAGCTCGAGGACTGCGCGACCGAGGCGTGGGTGTGCTCGATCGACCCGCCGACGTGCACAGACATCGACGACGCGCTCTCGCTGAAGTATCTCTCGAACGGTCGCTACGAGATCGGCGTGCACATCTCAGACGTAACGCACTTCGTGCGGTTTGGCGCGAAGCTCGACCTCGAAGCTGCGCAGCGTTGCTGCACGATCTACCTCACTGAGCAGCGCTTCGACATGCTCCCGAGCCGGCTTTCGAGCGATCTCTGCTCGCTGCGCGCGGGCACAGACCGGCTCGCGTTTTCGGTCTTCTTCGAAATGGACGACAGCGGCACGATCTACAGCACAAACTTCTTCAAGACGGTCGTGCACTCGGTCGCCTCGCTTTCGTACGAGCAGGCGCAGCGGTTGATCGACGACGCGCGCAGCGACTCGCCGCTCGCGCCGCGGCTGCGCAAGCTGATGGCGCTGGCGCGGCAGCTGCGGCGGCAGCGCTTCGCGCGCGGCGCAATTGAGCTGCACAACCCCGAGCCGGCTATCACGCTGCGCCGCGTGTTTAGCGCGCACAGTGACAGCGAGCTGGAAGTAGCCAAGGTGGAACAGCAGCAGCACTTCGACACGTGTCAGCTGGTGGAAGAGTTCATGCTGATTGCGAACGTCGCGGCCGCGGAACTGACCTTTCGCAAGTTTCCGAGCTGTGCGGTACTGCGCGTGCACGAGACGCCCATCGAAGAGCGGCTGCAGGAACTGCAGCTCGAGCTGCAGACTTGCCACGTGCCGTTCGCCTACACTACGCGCGAGGAACTGAACGCGTCGCTTGCGACGCTGAAAACGCGCTTGCCGCCGGCCGCCGTGCAGATGGTCATGCAGAAGGTGACCGCGGCAATGAACTCGGCGAAGTACATTTGCACCGGCGCGGTCGGCGACGCGGACGCGTTGCGGCACTACGCCCTCGCCGCGAATTTGTTCACGCACTTCACCTCGCCGATCCGGCGCTACGCCGACATCATGGTGCACCGGCTGCTGAACGCCTGCATCAGCTTTGAAGAGCTGCCGCCGCTTTCGATTTCTGCGGTCGAGCGGCAGTGCAGGCTCATTTCGCAAAGCCACTTGCGCTCGCGCGCGTGCCAGCGACGCAGCACAGAGTTCCACGTGTTCCAAGCGATGCTGCACGAGAAGAAACAGCGCGTGCTTGCGGTCGTCTCGCAGTTGCTCCCGAAGCAGCTGGAGGTGTTTGTGCCGAACTCTGGCGCGCGCTTGCGCTGCAGCTACGACGCGCAGCGCTGGACGTTTGACGCGGCCAACCACGCGCTCCGCGGGCCGCAGGACACAAAGCTGCGTTTGTTCGACCAGGTTTACGTCGACGTCGTGGCGTCGCAGCAAGACTACCGCTTTCGGTTGTGCGGCCATCTAGTGAGGAAAGTGACGTAGTTATTCGGTGTTCGCGCCGTACTTCAGCGAAGAATGCAACTTGCGACGCATGCCGAATTCCAAACAGGGACTGAGGCTGTAGTCGAAGAAGGCCGTCAGCAGCGCGAGCAGCGCAGTCAGGAACGCAAAGATCGCCGTGATGATGCCCATCCAGCCGGCGTAGCCGATGTTGGCGAATAGTCCCACGAACAGGAACCAGATCTGCGTGGCGCGGCGCGCAACTTACGGCGTAGAATGCAGGGCTTCCGAGGACGCTGCGCAGTTTGCGCGAGTCCGAGTCATGCATTAACAGACAGGCGAAGCCGATGAGGACTGGCAGCCAGTGCACGCCTGAGTGGGCGCGCGGCGAACTTACACAGCACGGCGGGTTCGACGCTGAACGCGCTGTTGATGTTGCGGATTACGCTGTTGTTGCTCGTCGGGTTGTCGTCGCCGGGGGAAGCGAAGCTGAGGTCAAGGCTGCCGACGCGGATGATGCTGATGATCGCAGTGACGATGGTCAGCACGCCGGTGACAATGCCCAGGTATCCGGCGGCTTTGGCTAAAACTACTTTGGCGCTTACAGGCATGGGTTCCGTCTCTTTTAACGCGTATTAGGGTGCACTTTACGCCGCATATTTTCGCACGCGCATTCATTTGCCCCAAAAAAGCAACGCTCCCTTTTAACGAGTAAAAGCACAATGAAGCACAGTCTGCAAAAATTTCTGCCGCCCGTTCTGCTCGTCAGCGCGCTGGCCAACATTATAGTGGGTAAGTAGCTGCGCGAGGCCAAGTGCAGGACTGCTGATTCCCATCTACTCTAACCAGGTCAACAAGATCGACACCAACAATGGCTTCTTGGGCTCGCACAACTGGTCCGCCTGGATCAACGGCTGCTTCAGTCTGCGGCCCGACACCTTCTTCTTCTACTGGCTGCCGCTGTTGTTCGGGCTGTGGGGCTTGTACAGCTTTTGCGTGAGCGAGAAGCGCAGCGGCTCGACGCTCAAGCGCAACCCGATCCGGCTGATGATCTTCTGTCTGTTCTCGGCGATGTTCCTGAATTTGCCGTACCTCAACGCGGTCGGCATCGTGTGCTGCTTCATCAACCTGGCCGCGATGCTGCTCGTGCTGATCGTCACTGCGATCCACGTGGTGAGCTCTCGCAAGGCAAGCTCCAATGTGTAAGCGTTTGTGATCTGTGCTTTTTCCGGCCGCGCCGCCGTGCTCGGCACCGGTTTCCGTCTGTTTAAGAAGCTTCATTTTGCGCGCCCGGCCTTCCGCAAGTCGCCTGCTGCGGCCCACCAAAGGCGCTAGCGCAGGTGCTTCGCGAAGTTTGCGTCTCGACGCGGGGCGCTACGTGCGATTCGCAAAGCGCCCGCTCTGTGCTGTGATAGAGTAATGCTGGTGTCCGGCAAGCCGTGTCCGGCAAGCCGTGTCCGGATCGACTCGGAACGTCTAGCGTTTTACGTCTCCGTCGCAACCAGAAGAACATACGTTCCTGGCGCAAACAAGAATTCAAAAGACGCTGTTCCGGAGCGCGCCGCGCAGCACTGGCCGCGGAGCGGCGAGCCTGCGCAACTCGCTGCAGCAGCTCGCGCGTCCCGGCGCAGCAGCGGCTGCGCGCACAGCGCGGCACGCAGCACCGCAGCCGTAATTTCTGCGGAGACCTATAACATTATTATAAAATCGAGAGGCTCCGCGCAGCAACCGCGCTTGCGCTCTGAACCGAGATGTCGGTGCAGTTTTACGACTTTTGCGCGCAGCGCAAGTCGGACGAAGTCCGCATCGCGGCCGACAAGTAAGTCCGCGCGCCGCGCACCCAGGCTTTCCTTCGAGCTCTCGAACCGCACGCTGAACGTGTTGCTCGCCGAGAACTACGAGCTCGGCACGCTGTTCCTGCAGGGGCTTGCGGGCATCTGTCGCAAGCGCTGGGACCACTCGGGCGTCGTGCAGGTGCACGGCGAGAGCTTTCAGCTGCCGCGCGACAAGACGCGCGCGCAGCTGAAGAAGGCGTTTGCGATCACGGTCAGAGTGGACGACAACATTCGGCACTTCAGCGCCGTCGAGTACATCACCTACATGTACGCGATGCATCGCAACGTCAGCGAGGCCGACCGCGTCGCGCGGATCATCGCCTGTTGCCGGCTGCAAGACGTGCAGAACGTCAAGATCGAAAAGCTGATGCAGCACCGCAAGTGGAAGCTGCTGTCCGTGCTGCTGAGCATTGCCGGGCAACTGATGAGCCGGCCCTCCGTGCTGCTGGTGCCGCTGGAGGCGGGCTACGACTCGTACGGCGCGGACTTGTTTCAGATTTTGAAAGACGTCGCGCTGAGTTGCGACTTGGCGATTTTGCTGCAGATCGACTTCTTCGACGAGGACGCGGCGGCGTTCGTCGACAACGTCGCCATTTTGAGCGACGCCAAAACGCTCCTGTTCGAGAACCTGCGCTCGCTCAAGGCGCTGGTCGGCAAGCTCGGCGTAGAAGTGCCGGAGTACACGGACACGGTCGACTTCGCGGTGATGAACATCGCGGCGGTCGCGAGCAAGAAGCGCGAGGTCAGCTGCGTGACGCCCGCCGCGGGCGGCGTGCCGCGCGCGAGCGCCGGCGCGCCGCTCGACGCCAAAGACTTGCTGAACTCGATGAAGTCGCAGGTCTACTACCTTGCGCTGCTCTTGGTGCGGCGGCTCTGCAAGTACAAGCTCGAGAAGGCGGTGACCGTCGGGCTGTTCTGCGCGTACTACGCGATGATTTGCTTCGTTTACTGGAACCACATGGCGCGCGCGGCGGCGTTCAGCGACGCGGAGATCGAGTCCTACGTGCTGCCGCCGATCAAGCACCTGGTCATCGCGGTGTACTTCAGCTCCTACTCGTTCAGCAAGTCCGGCTCGATCAACGACCTCGACTTGTTCAAAGAGGTGTCGAACCTCTTCGCGTTCATGCTCTCGCGCTGCATCGCGAGCTTCCTGGTGCTCGCGTTCCCGTTCGCGATCTTGAACACGCTCGGCTACATGGCGGTCGGGCTCGACATTCGCAGCCTGCTGCTGCTCAAGTGGCTGGTCATCGTGTTTGCGCTGAAGACGTGCACGAGCGGGCTCAACAAAGTGATGACCGCGCTGTTCCAGAGCACCGAGAAGCGCACGCTCGCGCAGCTCTCGATTTACGTGTACCTGATCGTGCTGCTCGAGTTCGACTCGCAGCGCATCGCGGTGCGCACGCAGTTCCTCTTCTTCATCAACCCGCTGAACTACGCCGCGCTGGGCATGGGCCGCGAAGTGATCCAGGCGCTGCGCGGGCGCGAGATCGAGTTCGTCTACTGCCGCTTCGGGCTGCGCGACATCTACGTCGCGCTGTTCGTGATCGCGCTGGTGATCAGCATCGCCGCGAGCTTCCTCGGGCGGAAGCGCCGCGCGCGCTAGAGTTCGAGCACGAACGAGAGCGGCAGCTGCTGCAGCGGCGCGGGCGTCGGCAGCCCGGGCACGCGCGTCAGACAACCGACGCCCACGCAGCGCGCGTTCGCGGCCGCGAGCAGCTGCAGCAGCGCGACGACGGTGCCGCCGGTCGCCAGCACATCGTCGACCACGAAGACGGCCGCGTGCGCGCGCAGCAGCGCCGCGTTCGCCTCGAGCGCGTCTACGCTGTACTCGGTCGCGTACTCCGCGCGCAGCACCGGCGGCGGCAGCTTGCCCGGCTTGCGCGCGACGAGCAGCGGCAGCTGCAGGCGCTGCGCGACGAAGGCGCCGAGCAGCGTGCCGCGCAGCTCCGGCGCGAGAATCGCCGTGGCCTCGCGCGGCACCGCCGCGCACAGCCGCTCGACCGCGAACGCGACGGCGGCGGGGTTGGCGAAGAGCGGCATCACGTCGCGGAAGACCACGCCGGCTTTCGGAAAATCGCGCACTGGCGGCAGCAGCTTGCGCAGTTCCTCGCAATTCATGCTATTTTTTGTGTGTCGATTTGCTCCTGCGGCGTAATTCGCCGCGATAAAGCTTTCAAAATTCAAATTGATTTCGCGGGCGCGCCGGCATGTTTACTCTCGTCGAGTTTTGGCGCAACGTGAGCGTGCACCCGGCGAACTTCGGCCGCAACTTTGAAGCAGTAAGTGCGCCGCGCGCGGACGCAGTACACGGACCTCTCGCTGCGGCGCGCGGTCGAGGGCCGCAGCGTCGACGGCGTCGGGCTGGTTGTGTGCGTGGTGGAGGTGCTGCAGCGGCTGAAGGGCTGCGTGCAGCAGGGCACGGGCTGCGTGGTGGTCCCGATTCGGCTGCGCGCGCTGGCGGTGGCGCTGCAGAAGGGGCTGGTCGTCGACGCGCTGGTGACGTCGCTGAACCCGATGGGCCTCTTTGCGAACTGCGGCGTCGCGAAGGTGTTCGTGCCGAAGTCGTACCTGCCCTCGGAGTTCGTGTTCGCGAACGGCGCGTGGGCGACGGACGCGGAAGTGATTCAGCTGGGCAGCACGCTGCGCGTGCGGCTGCTCGGCGTGAAGGTCGCCAACGGCCGCGTGACGGGCGTCGGCGTGATAAACCAAGACTACCTGGGGCTGCTCGAGTAGCTAGAGGTTGCTCACGAGCGAGTCGTCGGACTTGATCGTGATGTTGCGCAGGAACTGGTCGTACG